GGATAAAACCATTGGGACCACCAGTATTGCAGTAGGACCTGGGTAGGGACCGGAAGTGCTTGGCAGGGCAGCAGCAACCTTACTCCTTTTATATAGTGTGCACCCTTGTGCAGATGCATTTAAATCTTACACTGTGGTGAAGGGATGATTTTTACAATGCTGCAGTAGAACTGGATTACTAAACTGTGTTCTTGTCTGATATAGAAAATAAATGTTTGCATTATTTCCACATAGGGGAGAAATGTATAATCCAAACAAATAAGGATACTAAGAAATTGAATATTTACTTTATTTATACTCCCTAGTTTTGATTTAGAAAGGAGTTAAACATGTAACTCTACATTGAGAGAATAGCAAGGCATCTAATTGTTTAGGGAAGAAGGATTACAGATTATTACAATTTTTTAAAAAATCCGTTGGCGTGAAGGACCTGAAACATGTGTTCCAGCAAATTTTGAGCAAACTTTGGTCAGCACTACGGCTATATGATTCCTTTCTTCAACTTACATCTGCTTCACCCAACTGCTGAGAAGATGAGAACTCCTCACACTTCATCTGTAATAACTCAGATTAGGGGAATCAAGCCCAAAACTAAAGATCGTCCCCTAAGAAAGTATAAGCCTGAAAAATTGAAACATTTTTAGTTACACACCTACTTTCTCACAAAAGGCATTATATCCTTGAAATAAGAAGAGATGTCTTACTGGTAATGCTACATATTCATTCATGCTGAGGTAGTTCAGATGCCTCCACATATATATATATACATTGTAGATAGAAAATGAATTAGGATATTCTTCCTGATAAAACAACTCAAAATTTTAAAAAAAACCACAATGACAGTTTACTTCTTTTATGATGCCATTATAATGTTCTAAATTAAAAACCCGGATTTCTGGCCTTTTTAATGTTGAAAGACTGCCTTTTTCTCTTTCTTTCATCTCCCCCTCTCTTAAGTAGAGAGATACACTTAAAAAAAAAAAAGCGTGTGAATTCCTGGATAGTTCATATGTGTGAACATACAGCATACCATGAATTTTTAAAGATATGTGGCTTATCTTTTGCATCTCCCTATACTTTTACTTTAGCATTGCCAGTGAGTGTTTTCTCTTGGCTCTCTTAAATTGAATGCCATCTAAACTAAATGAAGAAAACATTATACCTGCTGATGTTATGAGACATTTGTAGCCTCAACTCTAAATCTGGTTGGTAGAAATTATTTAGGGAAAAATATCCATTCTACTTTAAAGAGGGGGGATTATTATGTAACTTATTCTCCCAAATTAACATGATGCAGAAATACAATAATTACCAACTTGAAGCTTCCTTATACCTAAAGGACCAAAATAAAGGCTTAAAATTTTCCCATGGCTTTTATTTGTGATTCATTAAAGAAAGTTATTACACTTGGTATTGTGACTTTAGTAACATGAATACAGTTTTTAACTGGATTGTAAGAAATAGGCAGTTTTGCAATTTCAGTTAATATATCACTTGCATGTATCATAAAACATACTAAGGAGCCAAGATGTGTCTTTTGAATGATATTTTTATAATCCACAATGCTGGGGAGGTCTTAAAGGTAAAGATCTTAAAGATCTTTTATAACCCATAATGCTGGGGAGATCTTAAAGACTTTAAGATCTTAAAGATCTTAAGTTCTTCAAGCCAAAGCAACCCAGAGCTAACTGTAATATTTGACCCTCAACAAGCTACCTAACACTGATCCAGCAGGTCACATGGATTTACTTGCTACAGGGTTTCTAACCTCTTTGCTGAAACTTCTTTAGGTTAACAAGGCCTTTTAATGAAAAGGGTGACTGAGCAAAGGCTTCACCTTCTAAGATAAGTAGAGTTGCCACAGTTGAAATCCACATTTATACAGTGTGCATAGTATTGTCATGTGCATGCTGTTTGCAGTCACACAGATTATAGGGACAGTACTGACTGTATTACTTGAAGACCACAGATTAAATTATATATTTATGTTCTGGCACTCTGTATATTCTCTTTAAAAATATTGGTTGCTGTAGGCACCAGTTACTGGCATCTTGTTTTCAGAATTTTATATCTTTTGTCATGAGTTGTATTTACTTTTTCCCCCTTTCATTAAATATTTTAGTCTTTCATTTATAATAAAAAATAGTATTTATCCCTACATATACAGATGAAGTAGAGAATAAGTGTAATTAATATTTTTATTCTTTTATGATCATCATTTCTGAAAATGAGCGAATATAATTTTATTTCTTTTTAAACTAAGCTTGTAAATATCAAGAGCAGTTTTGTTGTGGAGTTTCCCTTGAGTCTTTTATTCTCTTTCATTATTAATCAGGAGCCAGTAGAGAAGAAATAACCAAACATTGGGATTGGTTGGAACAAAATATCATGAAGACCTTATCTGTGTTTGATTCAAATGAAGATATTACTAATTTTGTACAAGGAAAGATAAGAGTAAGTGATGGATTTATTTTGTAGATGGAATACTATATCTTTGACCCTCTTATTTTAGGATCAAAGGCCATGTGGGAAGGTCATTGTTTTACTGACACCTTTCAGGATTGGCAGAAGTACACATATGAATGTCAGAATCAGTGCTAAAGAAAATTATAAAGTCAATGATTAGTTTTTGGTGCCCTTGTGAGTGCTCTTAGGGATATTTTCATTTCAGTATTTCATGAGTTTGGAATTTGGATGAATCCTTCACGCAATCAAAAAAAATATTTAGCAACTTCAATCCTGGGTTTTGGCACCAAAAAACCCCAAAAAAAAAAACAAAAATATTTAGCACCTATATTTGTGGTAGCTCCTTGTGAGGCATTAGAAAAAGCCTTATTACGAAATTAAATTAAATTTGCTCACCTCTGTCCTAAGAGAAGCATTTATGTACACACATTTATACATATATGTAGCTTGTAGATATATACAGTTGTATTCAGTGAACTGTTTAAATATATAAAATGTATTTTTATTAGTAGGTAATAATTGATTGTCAAAAAATATTTTTTCTCCTTTAGGGATTGATTGCTGAAGAGGGAAAACATTCTTTTGCAAAAGAAGATGATCCTGAGAAATTTCGAGAAGCCCTTTTGAAATTTGAAAAATGTTTTGGTTTACCAGAGCAGGAGAAGTTAGTGACATATTACTCATGCAGTTATTGGAAAGGACGGGTTCCTTGTCAGGGATGGCTCTATCTTAGCACCAATTTTCTGAGCTTCTATTCTTTTTTGTTGGGATCAGAAAGTAAGTGGCTTCTGTTACTTACCATGACTTTGAACTTGCTGACTGACCTGTCAACTCTGTGGGGTTGTTAGGTTGTATATAAAGCAATAGGATTGATATTAAGAGTAATTAAACTGTACATTAAAAAGTTCACTTCATCTAGAGAAAGAATCCTTAACATAGGAGCCATTGAAAGTATATATAGAATGCCTTGTATATTGTGGGAAGTGAGTGAATATTAAATGATGATGGTGACCTGGCATATAGCTCCTTTCTTTGTCTTGTTCTAAACTATGGACTCTGCAATTCATGTTTTAATCCTTGTTTTAGAAATACAGTATAAACATAGTAGCCATAGTATCTAATGGCCCGCATTTATAAAGAAGAATCAAACAGTAATGTTCAGAGCACACATATAGCTTTTACATCAGTGATTATGCAATTATGTAAAGTAATAGATTTAAATATAAAAGCAGAATAATTTTTTAAAAATTCTTTAAAATTTTATCTGTTCCTAGAATCACCAATTATTGTATGTTCATGGTTATGCTTCAAAACTTTTAACTAATCTTGAAGTCTAAAGTATTTTAGTTGTTCATAGCATTTTTCAAGTGGTTAACTATTGTTTTAAAAGACCTGATTGATAAACGTTAAATCAGTATTGAGAAATTTAATCAAATCTGCTTATCATTCTTATTTGCAGTAAAACTCATTATATCCTGGGATGCAGTCTCAAAACTTGAAAAGACTTCAAATGTTATACTAACAGAGAGTATTCATGTGTGTTCCCAAGGGGAGAATCACTACTTTTCAATGTTTTTGCATATTAATGAAACATACCTTCTTATGGAACAGCTGGCAAACTATGCCATAAAGAGACTTTTTGATAAGGAAACATTTGCTAATGACCCAATCCTTGATGATCCTCTACAAATCACCAAGAGGTATTCAAAGCTTAATTAATACTTTTTAAAATACTGTTTTACCAAAGAACAGTAACATTGATTATCATTAAAAGTTAACTGTTCTGTGTTATATGATAATTTTTCTTTGGAATTAATCATTGATGTGTGGGTATTTTTTAGTTTATTCATATGCATTTCACAAATAGTATTCCCTCCATTAAGTTTAATCCTAAGAAGTATAGAAGTTAAGTTTGAAAATTACTTATTGAGATCCCAGTAGGATTTGCCCTGGAGTGCTTTTAGAAATATAGAGATTTTTATATGCCTGCTTAGTCTACATTTCTCTATGAGTAGTCTGAACAGTTTCAGGTATGATATTGTAAAATGTAGTGTTTATTTTTAAATATAATTTATAGACAGCATCATTTTTTTAAAGATTTTATTTATGTATTTGGGGGGGAGGGGCAGGAAGAGGGACAAGCAGGCTCCGTACTGAGCCCGGAGCCCGACTTGGGGCTCAGTCTCACAACCCTGAGATCATGAGCTAAGCTGAAATCAAGAGTCAACCACTTAACCAACTGAGCCACCCAGGGCCCCTTAGACAGCATAATTTTTTATGAAGAGGCAAGTTAGTGGAGCCAGTGGAGCATGGGCTTTATAAGGAGAGTACAACCCTTGGACAAGTCATTCTCTCTCAGGACCTTAGTATCCTCATGTATCATTTCTACCTCAGGGAGCACTTGTGAGGAATGAACAATATAACATGTGAAAGCACTTTGTAAAATATGGAAACACTAGATAAATGTTAATCATTATTAATGCCTACATGAGAATTATCTCTGATAGCTGTTTGCTTCTCTATTTGGTTTGCTGAAACTGACCAGAGCCCTTTCATACTGCTCAACACTCAGAACAGTTGACTGAAATAAGCATGCCAAAGGAGAGGGAAAGAAGAGAGGATCTAGAAATAGCTAGTGAATGCAGCTTCTGGCAAGGAGCATGAGGGTATAGACTGTATGGGAAACTGTGAGAGGAACCTAAGCTGCAGTCCTATGGATAGACCAGAGCAAGTGACCTAGAGGGTTGTGTGATTATTACATAGCCCTAACTGGATATGGTTGTTCCATTTGCCTATTTCTAACCATTTCTAAAATCTGTGTACATAAGGACTTCTTTGTGAGTGTGTCTGCTTTTCTGGAAAATAGATCAGCAAGGTGAATTTTTTATAGGTCCCAGTGTGCATGATTTATAAATAGAACTCTATAAGGATTAGGAAGTCAGTTTATGTTATATTATAGTTGAGCATTTGTTTTTGTAGTTTGTTCCTTGATTGGCCACCATAAACATAAACTTTTTAGCCATTTTATTTCCCTTAGAATATCCTCTAAAAAGCCATCTATCAAGGGTGCCTGGGTGGCTCAGTTGGTTAAGCGACTGCCTTCAGCTCAGGTCATGATCTCAGGGTCCTGGGATCGAGCCCCGCATCGGGCTCCCTGCTCGGC